ATGCAATCAGCTGGTTTTCCTTAGATAGAAAACTTTGATCAATCTGACTGGATGATCTGGTGAACTGGAAAGTGACCTGAGATGACATGATGTGAATTGGAGCTATAGAAATAAACTGAATAGAATTAAATGTTTAGTAGTCATGTTTGAAATGGATGAAATAGCTTCCTTTTCATCATCTTCTTTTTGTCTTTTTCTCCTCGCCAACGTTCAATCATCTTCTAAACAGTGACTTCTGATTCTAAAAAGAAGTCACTGGGCGGGCAGCAGCAGGAGACGTTCTCTGCTGATATCTGAAGTAAAATCTGACATTTTAGGACCAATTCTTTTTTAATTCAGTTTTTTTTTTCTAAATCGTTGACAAAGATTTATCAGTCAGGGAACTGGGACACAGAATAAAGCAAATCCATATTTACAGTTGGGATTATTCTTCAGCTCCAAAGGGAAATATTCTCTGACAGAATAAACGCTTCTGCAGGAATAAATTAAACATAATAAAACACTGTAGAAACAGGACTGACGTCTAATTTTAATTACATGCAGCTCTGGAAGAGACGGAACGTCCCTATTTATGAAAACTCCAACTTTAAAAAAAAAACAATCCCTCACCTGAAGGCGGTTAATCCAGATTAGTAAAGACAATGCTAAGATTTTAATTTCCAGTTATTTTCCTGGGAGTGCGGTGAGGCCGGGAAACGAGCTAAATTCCAGCGCAGACCAACTGGTGGAGGGGAGTCTGTAGACTTACCAGGCACTGTAACCTGAATGACATCCCCTTCTGGAGGCTCCATTTTAATCCTCCTCACAGGAACTGCATCTCCTGAAGGACCTGCAGGAATTAACAACTCAATGTTCAGTCGTCTAAGTGTTTTTAACAATTCTGTGATAACTGATCTACAAACACAGCTTTTTCCTTTAACTAAAACTACAACCATTGAACTAATAGATTACTTTAAATAAGGAAAGGGTTTTTTTCCCCTTATGAGTGCAGTACCTGCATCAGAGTCAGCCTGGGGACTCACACAAGCACTCGTTGATCTAGGAGGAAAATAGAGATGAGAATCGTTCAGTATTTATTCAACAAAAAACTAAACTCAGATAATAGATTAGTGAAGGAGTTCAGGAAATGACGCCGTAACTTGTTAAAGGAAAAGTCGCTCATATTCAG